TTAGTAGTATTTTCTCTTGTGCATTATACAATTAAATATTCATTTTATATAACTATATAATAAATATATTATTTATATTGTAATATAAGTTATTTTTAATTATTAATATATATATATATATATATTTTAAAATATCAAAATTTGAATGGTTAGTATAAACAAGATCAGCCCAAGCATAAGGCTGCTCAAGTTCTAGCTTTAGGTTCCAAAATATTTTTTATTTATTTATAGAACTTAATAAATCAATTGTATCAGTATTAAATTTGGTTTGTTGACCATTGTTTAAGCTTAACATTGTAAGAATTAGGTTTGATCCTAGTATTATAATTTTTATGAAAGCTATTTTTTATGGGTGACTGTTGATTTTCTTTTCATTCTCTTTTATCTTTAAAAGGTCAAACTTCAAAACTCGCTTTATACATCAAAATATGTTGAGCCGACACTGAGTATAAATATTTTCAAACAAAATAATTGATTTAATTTAATAATAATGTTATAGTATGTAAAACTATTCTCGTACAAATATTTTAAAATTAGTCTACCTTATCATGGTTCTATTTCAAACAAAAGTTAATACAAGTGATTTAATTATTATATTATTTAATCAAGAATCAAATTTTAATTTTTAATTCGAGTATGAAATTGAGAATCTTTAGTTGTTAGTATGATTGATTAAATAATTATATCAATTAATTAAAGACCAAGTTTTCATTCTTAATTCGAGTATAAATTTTAGAATCTTTATCCTTACAGGGTAAAACTTTTTAGAAGAAAAAAAAAAGAAACCTACCCTAACTTGCATTAATAAGCCTGTACGTTTGCATTCTAAATATCTATCTCCACTTGTGCGAAACTTGAGCGTGGTTGTTGCACTTCACTTACACTCACACTCACACTCAAACTTGTTCCACGCTTTCTTCTTTTTATTTTTTTTTATTTTTTTTATTTTTATTTTTCTCTTTTCATTCTTGACAAAATTCCCAGATTTTTCCCTTGATACACGCTGATCCTTTGCGCGTTCTCTCTCAATACCTTCTGGTCACTTTCATTCTAGTCCATCACCGTCTCAACGTTGCAGAAAAGTAAGAAAAAAAGGTTCCATTTTATGACTTGCCCTTCAATTGAATTGAACCATTCTCATTGTTTTTGCTTAATTCTTGTTTTACTTGCCTCGGGATAGGTTTTTGCGTCGTGGGTAACTTGCGGGGTGTCGGTTTAAGCTTTGATCCGAGGAACTGGTACGGTTGTGTAGTATGATTGTGGTTTTTTCTTTGTTTTGTGCTGTTTCTGAGAATAAGAGGAATTGTAAGGAAAGGAAAGGAATTTTTTTGTCATCAATTGTGAAAGTTCAATTCACCATGGCATTTGAAAGGTTTAATTCAACAAGGAGAAAAAGTAATTGTATGGAATTTAATTACCTGTATTACGAGTTATTCTAATATTTAAGGTTCACGGAATAAACTTTTCCTTCTTTGCAGAGAAGATCTCTAGTTTCTTGGAAATTGGGTTTGTCCAGATGAAGTCCACTATGTCTCAGAATCAGAGTAATTGGGAAGCGGATAAAATGTGTGTTGTCACTTGCTAGATTCTTGGGTTTTTTTTTTTTTTTTCCCTTTACTGTTTTTCCGCATTTGATCCAGACCTATAGATCTTGTGAAAAATATTTTATTGATGTTTATTTGCTCGTTGGTTTTTTATGTTATGCTGCAGGCTTGATGTTTATATTTACGATTATTTAATGAAAAGAAAATTACATGCCGCTGCAAAAGCTTTTGTTACAGAAGGAAAAGTTTCCACGGATCCAGTAGGTGAGATTGCTGGTTATTCTTTACAATGTTAATGTTGTGTTGTAGCTTGCCTCACCACCATGGTCATTGCATGAAGTAAGTTGTTAGTCTCTCTCTCTATCTCTCTCTTTTTGTTGGTGGGTTGTTTTTTATTAGTCTACTTCATTGGTACAGGGGAGTTTCTCTGTTAAACATATATACGATGTGTGTTTGTTTGGGTGAAATTAGGGGGAAAGGAGATAAGTGAGAGATATCACTCTTCTATCGTTTGGATGAGTGTGAACATAGGGAAAATGAAAATTTTGGAGTGGGCCCATGACAAAAATAATTCCCCCACATCAACTGTGGAAAGGAGAAGGGAGTCTGAAATTTTTATTTTTATATCAAATTATTCTTTATAACATATTAACATAAATTATTTTATATCAAGAAATATATTAATAAATGTAATAAAAAGATTTTAATTTTGATACACTATTAGCGTAAAGATTTTTTATACTAACAACCTGTGAAGCCCGGATACTTAGTACGATATGACACAAATACGGAGTTATGACAATTTTTTGAAATTTAAGATATGATACGTCTTGGATATGTTAGTAAAAAATTATAGAAAAATTTATATAGATGTAAGATATTGGTAAAGGAAGTTGCATTTATCATTTTTCATTAATTCATAACTATGATGATCACAATTCACAAAATGATATTTGTGATCATAACAAAAAGACAAATAAAATACAGTTACTTCTCATACCATAACCAATTTTAGTTAACTATATCAATAAATGCATCTTGGGTAGAACTTAAAACAAATTCGAAGCATTATTACTAAATTGTTGTCTAATACTAATTGTATCACTTTCCTCCCCTCCTTACCATCATTTAGAAGCACAACTTCTATTCTAAGTCTGGTTTTCAAGAGACTATTGTGTCAATTCAAGAAGTTTAGCACCATTATCAAGTGGATGGTGTATATCTCTACCAATGTGCCACAACCTTGTCTATCCTTTTGACAAAAGTTGAAGGTTCAAATTCAAATAAAACCAAATATTCTACCCCTTTTGGATCTATATTGTTTTCCATCAAAGAGTGAATAAATCTACTCCAATTCCTCTCAAGCATGAGAAAGAATATAACTGCACAAGAAGCTTAAGGCAAGCTTTTTGGATACTTTACGGATATGTATATGGAAGTATCCTAGAAAAAAAGTTTAAAAAATAAAGAAAAAAGGTTGGATACCTTTTGGATAGGTATCCAAAAGTATTTGAGGGGTATTAGTATCTAACATGGATACAATATCAATACTTTTCCATTTTTGAAGTATCCGAGCTTCATAGCTATTAGCTAACAACCAATAATACGACTTTTAAAGTAATTATCATAAAAGCCAATGATTTTCAATGATATGGAAATTTTAATATTGTAAAAAACTTTTATATGTATTCTAATTAAATTCATAAAAGTTCATTTTTCATAATTTAAATTTAGTTTTTTTAATTAGTATAATTTTTTTATTAACATTTATTTATTTGTTTCCACTCATCATCCTGTCATCCAAATAAATAGAGATAAATTTTTTCACTGCTTCCGTTTTTATTTCTATCCATCCCAGCAAGGCATTTTTTCTTCTCTACTCTGTTTCCTTCTATTTACATCATTCCTATTTCTTTTTCTCATGGTTTTCCTCCCTATATTACTCCTTGTCCAAAGAGAGCAGTAGAAGTTGGTTTTTCTGGGAGGTTAATTTATCCTCTGAGCTTGTTCTTCTTTCTTTCTCTTTTCCAACAAAATCTTGTCTTTTGTTTAAACTGTGCTCAAATTCAGTGGACATTACTACAAGTTTACGATGGTATATATGATGAACGCAGTGGAACAATGTAGTGTATATGTCTTTGACATTATTATGAGTTTGAGTTGTACTGTTTGGTCTTTGACAGCAATTGATGCACCTGGAGGATTTCTTTACGAGTGGTGGTCTGTCTTTTGGGACATATTCATCTCAAGGACAAATGAAAAACATTCTGAGGCTGCTGCAGCGTACATTGAGGTGATGTTGTAACATCTATGCTTTTTTATTCCTTAGTTATTCTATTTTTTAGTATTGGTAGCTAACTGAATCTATACGTATTTGCATATTTACCAGCAAACAAAAGCTAGAGAACAACAACTTCAAATTCAGCAATTGCAACTAATGCAGCAACGCAGTGCTCAGTTACAGCGAAGAGATCCTAATCATCCTGCCCTTGGTGGTTCCATAAATGCCATGAACTCTGAAGGAATGTTGGGGCAGTCACCAGCAAGTGTGATGGCAATGAAAATGTATGAAGACCGAATTAAACTCCCTCATTCAATGGATTCAGAAGCATCTCCAACTCTTATTGATGCCAATAGGATGGCCCTACTCAAATCAACAGCTAGTCATCAAGGGTAAATAAATGTGCTTTGCTTTTTAGTTACTGTGAGCCAGATTGCTACTCTTAACTTGATCTTAACAACTTGGATCGAACTGCTAATATTTTGTATTCCTTTTGCCCCCTCAGCCAATTTGTTCATGGAAATTCAGGGAATATGTCCACCGCATTGCAGCAAATTCCGGGGCGGACTCCTTTGACCACTGTAAATACTTTAACTATATTCTAAGTTAGCCATTGCATGTGTTTTTTCTACTATTTCAAGTTCTCTACTCTATTTTCACCTCTACTGTGACATGCAACTTGATACATTAAGTTTACAGGACATCAAAGGGGAAGTTAATTTAGTTGCTTCTCAAAAGAGTTTGCCTATGGATACATCAGTATATCGACAAGCAATTTTACAATCAAAATCTGGGCTAGGCAGTGCAGGTATTATAGACGTGCCAATCTTCATGTTGTTACATCAAATGTATACTTTTTATGGCCTTGTACATGAAGTGCTAACTTTCTGTCTTCATAATCCCAGTTCTTATTTTATAGGTCAATTATTAGAAATATGCGTGTACTCCCAGTCATTTTCTTTTTCTGTCTTTTTCATCATCTCTCTCTCTTTTCCTGTACATTGCTGTGGTTTAGAGGGCCAGGGTGCTGCTTCACGTGACCAATGAACTCTGGTGAAAAAGAAAGACATTTTTTTCCTGTTGCTTTTCTTGATAATCCTTTGTCACAAGTTTAAAATTATGATACCGAACGTATCTTCCTTAGTGAAGAAGGAAACTCTACTGAAAATGCAATCTGTCAACCTTGTAATGGGTTCTGTCATGCATCGGTAGTGTACATTTTATGTGTAGATTCAATGTTAATCTATTGCAGAGATATGCCCTCATGGCTTTGACATGATATTGCTACTCAAGTTTGTATTAGGCATTTAGTGCAGAATATCGAACATGATGGATTCGGTCCAATGATTGTTCTGATTTTGTTTATTATTTATCCTGCAGGATTAAATCAAGGAGTTACAAGTCTTCCATTGAAGGGCTGGCCTCTAGCTGTAAGTTGACTGTTATCTTCATCAATGTTTTTCTCTGAAGTCTGTTAAACTCCTCGAGAGTGAAATAGTTGACTTATTCCTTCTTTTATAGGGAATTGATCAACTAAGACCTAATTTGGGCGTACAAGTTCCGAAACCCAATTTGACATCCCAAAACCAATTTGTTTTGGCATCACAACAGCAACAAGTCATGGCACAGGCTCATTCGCAAAATAGCCTTGGAAATTCTAATTATGGTGATATGGATCCTCGCAGACTTTCTGGTCTTCCTCGAGGTAGCTTAAGTGCAAAGGATGGTCAGTCTACCAGCCAAATGCAGTCAGATTCACCTAAGGTTGGACTAGGTTTTCAAAATTTTAAAAATGTCAATTAGAAACAACAATGTTTGAATAACATACATAATATCTTTAAATTCAACATGCACTATATTTGAAAAATTTTAAGAATAGACTTAACTGAAATTCAACATAAGTTCTATGAATTGCTTGAGAGCACCCGGCATCCTTGATACTTCTATGTTATACATAAATGGATAAATAACAAATAGTAAAGAATTTAACTATTTCCAATGACTCTAATCTTTCCAATGATACAAAGCCCAGTGACATACTAATCACTATCACTATTTACAACATAATCAATGTTGTATCAAGCATTTATTTGTTAAAGTGTATGAATATATTTTATAATCTTTTAAGGTCTTTTATTTTAAATTTTCTATCATTAGGAATTTGCTTCTCCTCTCATCTGTAAACTACCTATTGTAGAATTATTAGATTGGTTAACTTCTGATTCCCAGAAGTATTGATATCAAGACTTTATAAGAATGGACTAAGTTAAAAAAAAGAAAAAGGCACCAATGGGGCTCCATTCCCTTGAGATTCGAAAAATCCCAAGAACATAGAAAGTCACTTAAAAAATCAGTCTAGATTTGTGACAACAGATTTCTCTAAAGTTCTCCATGGGAAAGGGGATGAGATTTCATGTTGAAAGGCCCTCCTTAACCTCTCACTTATATACATGAGGATTTGGGAACTTTCATGTCACCAAAGTGGTTGAGGTGTGCTATTATAAGCTTATTTCCTTCATGATTTCTGTTGATTCAAAAAATAAGACATGTCTCAAAGTAATGTGGACATGATCTCTTACTAATTGAATAGAAAACAAAAAAAATGTGCTTACCTTGTATATTTATTCCATTCTCTTCTTGATAAGTAAGACAATTAGTTCTGAGTTGGTAATATCTACATTGTATATGCCTTTCGTGTAAGATACAAATTGAAACAGATTAAACTCTTGGTCTTGGAGGTCAATTTTAATTTTTCTTGTTTTATTTTTAATGTGTATTAGATGAAGATGGCCCAGTCACAACATTCACCATCTCAACAACAGGAGCAATTACAGCAGCAGCAACTTCAGCAGGTTGTGTTTAATGTCACACTTTTTTTTGAATAGATTGTAAGCAGATGTACATGGTACCAAGTGTCCATCCTATGCTGTCTGTTTAACCTTCATTTTTTATTTTGTTGTGTTTGGAGAATGGAAATGAGCAGGGATTTGATTTTTTTTGCTTTTGTTTTTGTACTACTTTAATCCCTTTGAGGCTGATGCTGCAAGTAGATTTATTTTCAATGACTTTTTATATTTCATTTCTATTATTCTCTGTCCCCCTCCACAAATTTGTTTCAATTTCACGGCTAATTAACACTGTATTTCTGCTTTGACATCAGAATAACAGAAAAAGAAAACAACACTCTGGTGCTGGATATAGCACTGGTACTGGTAACACTGCTGTTCCTTCACCCAATTCACCGCCATCAACACATACACCTGGTGATGGATTAAATACAGCCAGCAGCATGCAGCATGTTAGCAGTGTGCAAAAGAGCATGATGATGTATGGTACAGAGGCAGCAGGAGGCGTTGCATCATCGTCAAATTTGCTGGTAAGTTTTGTCAATAATTAATTGATTTAATTTGCATAACAACTATCTTGATTGTTGACCTGTATGGCTGGCATATGTTTCTTTGTAATTTCAGCTCATTGGTCTATTGTTACAAATGTTTAGTTCAGTCATAATTAGTTGAAAAGTCTTATTTAGCTAACTATTGAGATTGCAGCAAACAAATAGAAGATAAGAACAGTAGACAGAGAGGAATGAAAATCTGAGTGATGTTTTATTTATAATCAATCATATAAGTACAAGAAGTGGAGTGTTTGTAGACTGAAGTTCATTAAACCATATTAGCTGAATCTAGATACAAATAATTGGAAAGTCTATATTTTTAATCGTAAATCAAATCATCGTGAATCTTAAAATTCATATCAATAAAAACAGTATATATATTCATATCAATAAAAACATAGTGTATATATATATATATATATATAGAGGAAGGTTCAAACGACACCGGTGTAACTTTAACTAAGTGTTACACCGCTCAATAACTTTATATTAAATGTGAATTTTGTAAATCCAACCGTTAGATGGAAAATTCATATCTCTTAGATCATATATATCAAATTTTATATTAATCTAAGATGATTTGATACTTCATTCTCATAAAACAAAATTGACGTAATATATATTTCAAAATATACTAAAATATGAACAATTTGATTACCTTCAAAATTTGACATATATGATCTAAGAGATATGAACTTTTCATCTAACGGTTGGATTTACAAAATTCACATTTAATATAAAATTATTGAGCGGTGTAACACTTAGTAAAAGTTACACCGGTGTCGTTTGAACACTCATATATATATAGGGAGCGTATCAACTATCAAGTGAGAAGAAATTTATTATGAGAGATGAAAAAAAATTTATTATGAAAGATGAGAGGGATAAAATATAACCCTTAGATTAAATAAAGAGAAGTTACTTTCTAAAAAAAAATTAAAATATTATCTAAATTATAATAATAATTAATAATAAAGAGAAGTTACTTTCTAAAAAGAAATTAGTGAAGTAAATGGCCCCGTAACCAAATCAGAAGATAAAATAAAATTTGGCCCATTTGGCCCAACCTTTCCAACCCAAATTATTTTTCCTGCAACCCTTCTAATGGTAAGACTCAAGCCGTCGCCGCTGCCTTCCGTCTTAGAAGAAGACTGGTCTGCAGATGCTGTAGAAGACAGAGCCACCGTCGGAGAAGACAGAGCCGCTGTCAGAGAAGACAGATCGACGGAGATCCGCCGGAGAGGACAAATCGACGGAGATTCGTCGGAGAAGAAGACAGATCGGTGGAGGATCGGCACTTTCCCTCTTTTTTCTGCTTTTTTTTTCCCAAAAAAACTATATTTTTTTAGGGTTTCCAGAATCGGGTCGCGCGTGATCCGACCTGTTTTCGAGGCGCGACCCGCTGTTTCGAAATCGTGCGGTTTCGTCCAGAATCGCGAATTTTTCGATTCACGCCACGATACGCACGATTCACATGCGATACTTGAACAAAAACGAATCAACATGCGATTCGAATCGCGGAGCCTGGGAATCGTATCGTATCGTACGATACGAATCGCGAATCGTGCGATACTTACTACAATGCATCAAACTATTATAGCATTAACTGTATCATAAGTTCCTATCAGATCGCTGTTTCTGTACAGTTGTCATCAGTTGTACATAACTGAAACTAACTAGACCACTACTTATACACTGACACAGTAGTCATTAATCTTGATGAGAACATTTGAGTGCCCTTGTTTTTTGAAATATGCTGAGTTTATAAGCTGAACAAATTATTTAGCTCTGGACGCTATCATTTCATAAACCAGGAGGACATGGAGCGATATGGAGATGTTGATGCTTTAGATGATACCGTGGAATCCTTTCTATCAAATGATGGTGGAGATGGTGGAAATCTCTATGGAACAGTGAAACAAAGTCCAGCTGATCAACAGAAAGAGTCTTCAAAAGGTAATCTTTATGCATATCTCTCTTCTCTATCTGTAAACTATTATTGGAAAGTATCATTAACCACATTTTTCATTTCAGGTTTCACCTTTGCTGAATTTGGTTGCATAAGAACAAGGTGCAGCAAGGTTACTTCTTGTCACTTTTCTTCAGATGGAAAGTGGCTTGCCAGTGCTGGAGATGACATGAAGGTAATTCACATGCATGATAATAATGATAGTGTGCTTCATTCTAGGCACATAGGTGCTGAACATTATATTTTTTGTTCTTTTCATTTGAAGACTAGCATTCTAAGGAATTTCCTACTCTATATCATGCCTTTGTTTCTTGTTTCGTAGTTTTTTTTTAAGCATCTCCCTTTGGCAACATTTTATCCCAAACCTACATATCCTGTTCTTGTGAATTATCTCTTCCTATTATATATGATAGGATTATTGTGATTGATTTTTTGTGCATGTAAATGATTTTTATATTGGCACGGCTGAACATGAGACATTGATCTCTAATGTTAGGCTAATTTTCAAATAACTGCTGTGAGCAATTTTTCATTCATTATATAAATTTAAATACTAAAAGTTGTATATGTTACTTTTTGTGGGGACATGCATTAGGTTGTCATGTGGAACATGGACACTTTACAGACCGAGAGCACTCCTGCAGAACACAAATCAATTATTACAGATGTTCGGTTCAGACCAAATTCACCTCAGTTGGCAACTGCCTCAATTGATAAATCTGTCCGGTTATGGGACACAACCAATGTAACAGACCTTTCCTGGTTCTCATAAATAATATGCGCAACTTGTACATCTGATGTTTAAAACTCGTATATGGGACACTATCTTCTTCGGGCCTTGTTCCCTGCGTTTTACAATCATTCATTTCTTGCAATTGTATTCTACAAATTGCAATTAACTATTTTCTTTTCTTCCTTTCAATGCAGCCAAGCCGTTGTGTGCGGGAATATAGTGGGCACACTAGACCTATAATGTCTCTTGATTTCCATCCTAAGAAGACTGAACTTTTCTGCTTCTGTGATGGTGAAAATGAAATTCGGTATTGGAATATTACTTCGTCCACCTGCACACGTGTAACTAAGGTTTGTTGAGTAAATGCAGTATGGCATTTCCTTTTTGAATATTTTATCATGCGTCTCTAATATTTTTTCACAATTGATTGTTTCAGGTAGCTAGTGCACAAGTGAGGTTTCAGCCTAGACTGGGACATTTCCTGGCAGCGGCTTCTGATAAAGGAGTATCAATTTTTGATGTTGAAGCTGACTCACAAATTTACTCTCTCCAGGTAAAATCTATATACGTATTTACTCATCTATAATACAATTTAATCTTAGAATTTGAAATCAGGGCCTAAAAACCTCATAAAACAACTTGTAAGGTGATAACTGTCTAAAATTTATAAGCTAAGTCATATCTCTAGTTTATGTGAGACTAAACCATCACCCTTGATACCACAATCAAGGTAGGTCCTAAAGAGATGCAACTAAACGGGCTAGGGTTGACCACAATTAAGGTGGCTTTTGAACATGTAATCTCCTTTAAACAACTATCCTTGAAATTATATAATTGTAGAGAGAGAAATTTGATATCTATCCCCTTAATGAATTATGGGTTGCTTGTGTTACAAAAGTTTCATGTTAGCTTATGTCTAAATATTGGATAGAGTTTGTTCCATTCTCTCTCATCCTCTTTCTATTTTTTAATGATGTGCTTCTTGTATCCAATCTCCATGTTGAAGTTATAATTTAATTAATAGTATAGATAAATATAAAAAAAAAAATTAACTGGGCAAATCAGAAAGCAGATGAGACACTAGAATTCGTAGGTGGAAGTGTGGAACTGAATATTGGTTACCTTATGCAAACAATATATTTATTTTTATTGTGGTTTGCATCTCTGATGGATTTTGTTGTTAAATCATTTTGTCTTTGCAGGGTCATCCTGAACCGGTGAGCTATATTTGCTGGGATGCGACCGGTGACGCCTTGGCATCTGTGAGTCCAAATTTGGTGAAGGTTTGGAGTTTGACCTCAGGAGAATGCTTTCAGGAGTTCAACTCCACTGGGAACCAATTTCATTCCTGTGTTTTTCATCCAAGTTATTCAACTTTATTGGTGATTGGAGGAAATTCGGTAAGCTTTTTTGTTCATTATCTGTTGTAATGAACACTGGATTCAAAACTAAACTTCTGAACTGCATCCATTCACTCTAATACTGGGAACTATCCTCAACACTTCTCCACTGAAAACATCATCACACCCTTAGTCTCCACATAAAACCAGAAATTCTGTAAACCATTTGGATTATGGTCATCACTGTTTCTAATTGAGTAATTTTCATTGATCTTCCTCTAACTCTTATAATCAGATCATCTTCCATTTCATCTTTATCTCACCTGGCCAAACCACCTTGGGTGAGTTTCTATCAGATCCATAATAGATGCTTCTCCAACTGGTTTCCTGATTTGCGATCTTTATCTCTTTTCTTGTATGTCAAACCTCAACATTTTTATCGTTTTTTTCTTTTTTGGTTTCCCCGACACTTTATACCACCTAACATTCATTATTAATGAAAATAACTTACACCTAGGTTGGGTGGGATATATAACAGTCCAAATTGGTACCACTTATTGGAATTTCAACTTGATAACATTGTTGGCTTGGTCAGTGAATGAGTTTACTAACTAATGTTCATCCAAATTCTGGTACTAACTAATGAGTTTACTTCTACTTTCCTTTCCTTCACTTTCGTTTAAATTGGATTAAAAAGTATCATGAATTGTCATGTCTTCCATGAACTAGCAAACATCATTTCTTAAGGCAGCAGCTAAATCCTCAACATAAGTACCTTTGACATCTCAAATCATCAAAGGGAAAACAAATGTTTTACCTTGGCAAGTTTTGTTAAACGTGTACATTTACTGTGACAATTACTTTGCATCATAATGTGTTAATCAGCCAGCTAATTTACTAATATATTTTTTTTCTTCCTTGTGGTCCGCAGTCCTTAGAGTTATGGAACATGTCCGAGAACAAAAGCATGACAATTGGTGCTCATGAAAACATAATATCTTCTTTGGCTCAGTCTCCTGTCACTGGAATGGTTGCCTCTGCAAGTTATGACAACTATGTAAAGCTGTGGAAATAATTTCCTGATTTAGGTTCTAACATCACTTATATATATATATACACACATATATTCTTTGTCAGTAGTCTTTTATATCCAAAAGAATTCAGAGACCTATATTGAAAGCAAAAAGGGATCTCTGAACCTAGTTTTCTTTTTTATATAATAGTGGCAATGAGGTTTGAACCTATCCAAACCCCTCACCATTAACTCAATCTTAGTTGCTTTTACGGAACGGAGACGTTGCAATAATACTAGACTGGTAGTACATAAATATAAATTCAATTTTGCTTTTAGAATCCTAAGCACTGTCAACTTTGCACTAATCTGCAATGCAATTTTATTTTATATGTTTAATATATTTTATTTGGATTGTGAACACCATTTTGTGATAATAGATTTCATTGACTGTGTTAACTCGTGTCAACAGCACCATAGTTGAACTTAATTTGTTTATTTCTTCAGAGTAGGAATGTTGGATGTAATATTTATACCTGGATAGTGCTCACTGGCGTAAGTAATATGGGTTATGCAGATTATTATTCACTAATTTCGTTAAAAAAAATAACTAAATTTTCTGTACAACTGTGACTATCATTGACTTATAGCATCTTTGGAGTGACAGTGAGGTGAGCCAGAATAGTGCTCATTGTCACAGTGACCTTTCAAGTAAGTCATTTAAGGGAAAATGTGCCTTTCTATGTGAATTTTAGTTAATGGTATACAAACACTGGTGTGTATTCATACAATGTATTATGAGTTTTATATGATATTCTTACACCGAGAACAAACAAGTAATGATTCTTTCTTCCTACATGGATGGGTATCCTCAGTTTACTAGGTCACATACTAATTCTCTTTGCGATATTGAGACTGTCACCGTCTCTACAAATTTTCACATATGGTAGGGGGTCGAATACAACCAAACTATTTATTTAAGCTTAAATAACTTATTTATTTATTTATTTATTTTGCTCATGTAAGATAAGTTTTGTTTTTAGTCATTTTGAATATGCTTTTCGATCTCATCTCGTAAAAAAAATGTTTCAAAATGAAAATAATTAGGACCAAAATTTGAGAAGACTAAAATAAAAATAACTTGAATATGAAAAGATAGAATTAAAAATAACTACAATTTAGAAGATTAAATAAAAACAAACTTATTTTGTAGAGATTAAAATTTAAATAGAATAAATGCACCAATACAAAAAAAGAAAAAAATATATAACAAATACATTAGTAACTAATAAAATAAATAAATTAGATAAAGAATGCACAATATTATACAATCATTTATATATCGTAATAACATCCTTTCTTCACCACACTAATATATATATATATACCAAGTATTACACCGGTGTAATTTTTACCAAGTATTACACTATTTAATAACTTTATATTAAATGTGAATTTTGTAAATCCAACTGTTAGATTGAATAACATATCTTTAATGTTTGTTTTCTTGTGTAGAATATACCTTAATTAATAAAATTTTACACTATTAAAATAAGAGGATAAATATAAATTTAAAAAACATAAAATCTTCGTTAGAATAAATTTTTTTGAATGATTATTAAAAGTAAATCTATAAAAACTTATATAAAAATAGATAATATCATATAATATTGAGAAATTTATGAATTCTTGCATACAAAAAGGCATAATACTCTTATTAGAAAATAAGTTTCTACAAATCACCCCCATCACTTTTGACACAAAGCCATTGGGTCAAATCGCATTCCAAAACACTAAAGCTTGCTATCATTATAATAATGTTATATTGTCATATAAAAAAATTAAAGTATTGTCAAGTTCCTGAAGCAGAAGTTTCCCTAC